CAATTTCTTGTACCTTGTATCTGTTCTTGTGTTTTGTAATTATTACATAAAATTTTTGTACCATAATTTGTTAAAAAATAAATGCTAAAATTCCTTTATAAATACAAAAAAAGTACCTAAATGTAAACAAACAAAAATTTGAGTTAAAAAATTAAAATGAAAGATTTTTTTCCCTGAAAGTTTGGGCCCAAAACGTGGATACGCATTATACATGGGAGTGCATTATATAAGGCAAAATACAGGCGGTATTTGAGTTATTAGATTCTCTAGCTTGAGTTGTCCTCAATAACAGGATTGCCTGATATTTGCTTGCAACCCAAGGAGATGTTTGTTTCATAGCCAATACCTCCGTACGCTGTACATGGATACATACTTTTTTTCCAGATAGAAATAGAAACAACCAAAATCCCTAAACTTGCAAACAGTTTGCCTCTAGGACCACTAGTTGGGTAGGATTTAGATTTTCTGATACTTTCAGCTGGCTTCCATCTGGGCTCAGAGCTATTTTAAGGTCAGGGTTGCAAATTGTTTTATTCATTGTTATTATAATTTGTTCAATATATTTATTTGTCAGGCTATTGGTGTTCTTTACAAGCAAATGTTTAAACCTTTACAAAAACTTGACCAATGGTTGCAGAAAGGATAGAAATGATCCACTGCATCTCCTCCATATTTGTAATTCCTAATGGTTATAACCTTTACTGCTGATGTGAAATACCTGTTTTGTCAATTACCACTGATTTCTCTTGATGTTACGAAATAAGTGCCTTTGTTTGTTGTTAAACCCTTCCCAAATGGTCTTGGCTGTTTAGCAAGAGATTGCAAATTTGTTTAAATTTTGCAGGCACCTGAGAGACCTCTTGTGAGCAAATGGCCTAGTTGCTCAGGGGCTAGTGCCCAACTACAGAAGTTCCACCAAGGGACTCAATGAACCCAGAGAATGAAGTCAAACCACTCCAGCATCAACACAGGATGAACTATCCTGATCAATCATCAACCTGTCTGTCAACAGGTTTTGATCAAAAGAGGGATAATGTCAACCCCTAGAAAGAATATATCTGCTGAGAACTCCTTGTGCCTAGTCAGGCCCAAATTAATAACCAGAGCCTAGCAGTCATTGTTTTTTTGTTTTGTTTTGTTTTGTTTTTTAAAAGATTTTATTGGGGAATTGGGGGAAGGGGAACAGACAAGCCGCTGTTTTGTTCTTCAGTCTAGTTGTGGAGGATGTGGCTTCACTGGCCCAAGTTGGCACCATCATTGCACTCTTCCCGGACAAGGCAGATCAGTCACCGGCCTCTGGAGAGCCGCTCACGGAAGCTGCTGGCTGCTCACGCTGGCTGCCGGCTACAAACGGTAGCTTATGGCAGCCCACTGCAGCAGGGGACTGCAGCCTATGCCGTCACCAGCGACCCACAGCAGCCCAGCCCCAGGTTGAGCTGCCATTCACCATCTTAGCTGCAAAGGGCAGTGTCACTGGCCCTCATATGTGGGATCCGAACTGGGGCCCTCTGGCATCCCAAGGCAGTTCTTAACCAATGCGCCACTTGGCCGGCCCAAGCAGTCATTGTTTATGGGGCCTCTCACACACACTACAGTTCAGTGAAAAGCCAGGCTGGGCTGCCACGTCTCCTGCACTGAACCCACCCTTATCAAGGAGTTCTCAGAATCATATTCCGACCAATAGGATTTAGACCTTCCCTGTCCAATGGGAGTTGCACAACTATACTTTCATTTGCATCATTATGACCAATCAGAGAGGTTCTACAACCAATCAGAATGTATGGAATTGGCCAATCAGGACAGTGCAATTTGGACCAATCAAACTGTGTAGATTTGGAGGCCTCATTTACACAGAAACGGACCAATCAGGGACCAGGTATGTGAACTTCTCTCTATATAAGCCAGTCTTTCCTTTGTCTCAGTAGAGCACACTTTGGGCTGCATTTTCCCTGCTTGAGCTGTAACACGCACAGGAGCTGTAGCATTTGAGCTGCAGTAGTAGAGCTATAGCATTTGAGCTGCAGTAGTAGAGCTATAGCATTTGAGCTGCAACATTGACCTGCTTCGCTTGAGAAACTTCACTTGAGCCATTCATTTGAGCTGTTTCACTTGAATAAAGTCTCCATTCACCACATCTCAGACAGGAATCCTGGTGGTATTGAATTGGTGGCAGTGACTTTTTGTTGATACTTGAAAGCTTCAACCTCCTGCCATGTGGCTCTCCATTGTCTGTCTTCTTCCCAGTCTCCTCTCCTGAGACTAACTATCCACATTTGTACCATCCAAGGGGAAAGGAAATTGCCCATAATGTTGATTGCAAAGGAGATCTAAAGATCTGTCTCAAAGCGTTTTCATCTGTCCTCTTTATCCTTTTTGTTTAGCCCTACCCCCTACCTTCAGTCCCAACTCCAGGAGTATCTGGTGTCACCACTGCTGTACTTTTGAGGTTTCTGAGATATAAAATCAGATTGGCTCTCAGCTATTTTTTTTTTTAATCTGTCTGGGGATCTGGAATTTTTCACGTTTGCCAAGAAAATAACATTCATCTACTTTCCAGGTCCAAATGCTGTTGCTGGTGTGTCCTTACCTGTCTTTTCCTGGCTTTGTAAGTTAACTTTTCAAATAATCCCTTACATTTGGTTTTACTGGATTTTGGAAGGGAACAAAATTTGATGCGTTGGTAAAGAAAAACAATATTATGCTGTTAAAGAAAAAGTTGTTCATGACACTTGTTAAAGAACAGTAAGGCAGAGTTTACTCAAGGGGGCCATCATGATAGATACAGTGATCACTGCAATGGGGTCTTGTAGTGGGGAAGAAAGGTTGGACTCAATTCCAAATACAGCATGCGTGAGTGGGAATTTATAGCCAAGGAGCAGGGTGGAGGTCGGAGGATAGAAAATTACTAAGAGGAGACATCAGGGGTCAGGGGTGAGGGGGGATTCTGCCTAAACCAATCTAACAGAATTCTTGCTGAAGGCAGACCAGGGTGATCAGATATGGAGGATGTGGGATTCTGGCTAAAATGACTTAGCATGATTCTTGCTAAACTTGTACAATGCAGAAATAAATCCAGGAATCCAAAAGTCAAGCCTAGTTGAAAAAGAGCTCAGAGGAGCCTGATTAGAGTTTGGTAAAGGTGAGAATCTAAGTGTAACCAGCCCAATCTCTAAATATTCCCTTTACTTTTTTTTTTTTTTTAAGTTTTTGGTCTTTTAAAAAAATGTCTAATCACATTGTTGCTGAAGAATGTGGTGGTCCTTATGATAGCAATTCTTTGAAATGTATTGAGACTGCTTTATAGCCTAGCATGAGGTAATTTTTAAATTACCTTCTCTACCTCTAGCAATATTTTTTGCCTTAACTTTTAAAAAAAATATAAGTGTAGCTGTAGTAATTTCTGTGGTTAGTATTTGCCAGGTATATCTTCTTCCAGCTTTCTACTTTCAAGGTCTATGTATCCTTATGTTTTAGCACACAGCTAGATTTTTAAAAAAATCTAGTCTGACAATATTTTTATTTTATTTGGAAAGTTCAGTCCATGTGTTTATGTAGTAATTACTGATAGATTTTGATTTATTGCTACTGTTTCTTATGTACTTTTTATTTGTCCAAATTTTTCTTTTTCTAGATTGTTGGGGGGTTTTGTTTGTTAATTTATTTCCTTCTCCCTCTCCTATATACCATACTTTCTGCACACTCTGGAAATTGCACACTCTGTTGTGAATGTTATTGAGGACCATTTCCCTACCAGAACAACTATGATGAATACATTCATGTAATTTCTAATATAAAAATTCCCTTGCAATCTTGGAGAAATTGGTTCAAGGTATTTGCATTAGTACAGTGATAGAAGATTTTTACTTTGTTTGGTGTTATCTGGGTTACCTTAGCTTGATTAAATGAATTGTGAAGATTTTCATATTTTTCAATATTTTTAAATAGTTCAGACAGTTCTCAAAGAGAAACAGAGTTGGGTACTAGTTAAAGGAGGTAAAACATATTTTATTTGGTACTATTGCAATAGGGGACAGAAGCTTCAGTAAAACCAAACTCAACTCGCAATACAGCAAAGACAGCTGGGGTTTTGCTGCAAACAAGCAGATTTTAGAAGGTCAGCAGATGGAAAATTACCAAAAGTGGACAGCAAGTTTGGAGACTCCTGCTAAACTGACCTAACAGGATTCTTGCTAAAGGTAGGCCAAGGATTTAGACATCAAGATTAGGGGATTAGGAATATGATCAGATATTAAGAATGGGGTTTCTACCTAAACTGATTTAGGAGGATTCCTGCTAAAACTGGGCTCCACGTCAAGAACAGGGCCCAGGGACCAGGCCTGGTAGAAAAGAGGACTCAGAGGAACCTGTCTAAAGTTTGGTCTAGGGTTGTCTTTGTCATCGCAATAGAAAGTGGCAGAGGAAACTAGCAGTTATTTTTAGAAAACCAAATAGTACAATCTAAGTTACCATATCAATCTGCCCCAAATGTCACCTACTTCTCTAAGTTCCAGCAGCAGATGCAGGTGAAACTAACAACTCTGGCTACATATTTAATTGAAGATTGTGTCTGCATTCTATAGTGATAATTTTGAAGTGCTTAGAGCAGCGCTTGACGCTGAGGTAGGGGAGGAAGTACAGTAATTACCATTCATGGAATGCCTGCTCTGCACCCAGTATTATTACTCATTTTTCTGACAGCTTTGCAAGGGACTCTCTGGGCTCCCTTTATTTCAGAGGAGGAAAGTGAGGCTTAGCCAAGGTTGTCTGCTCCTTATACCCTCCCCACGGACCAGGCACAATCAGGATCTAAGCAGGGGCTCCATTAGGGTAGCCGGGGTAAGGTCTCCTCCGCGCAAACCGTCCCCAGCTTGGCAAGCCACAGCTCCTCCAAAGCGAGCCTTCCTGGGAGCCACCTCTGACCCTCGGCTGGAACCGCCCCGCCCACTACTCGGGTCTGCGCCTGCGCACTCCGACATCCGCGCCGCGGCCCCACAGCCTTGTGGGAAACGTAGTCTGGCGTTCCGGCGGAGGTGGCGGGCAGAGCGGCATCCGTACTGGCTGCCGGGACTAGCTCTGGGCGAGGGTGAGTGCGGGGCAGCGGCTGGGCGCGCCGGGCCCAGCGGGCGGGTGGGTGCGAGCCTGGCGGAGGCCCGAGCAGGACGAACCCTGGACGGCAACGCGAGGGGAGGTCGGCGGCAATGGGCTGGGGCAGCGTCCTCCGGACCCCTGCGCAGCTCCGGGCCGCTTGCTCCAGGTTCGCCCCCGGAACCGAGCTGGGGAGAACACGGAGAGCTGAGGGTCGCGGGACACGGTCATTCCACTACTTGTCCCAGGAGCAACGAGGGCGGGGGTGGCGCGGCGGCCCGGGTTCGAGGGGCCAGTGAGGGACCCTGGGTTCCTCCCTGCCGCGGACTTGTTCCAGGACCCTCTCCGGGGATGCTGGACCAGCTGCGGGGCTCCAGGCTCCAGCACGTGCCCTTTGTGTAAACCGCATCTCAGTGCGCGCCCTCCGTGATTTGCGATGTCTTGACCCATGTCCATGAGAATGGGGAGGCCAACCCCCGTGCAGGTTTTCTACTTCGGGAATCCTTTTTCTTTTTTTTTAAGCAATCTTTTTCTGTACAAAAAAAGAGTTCACTACAGTACAACTAGAATATTGGGAGGAGCAAAAGAGGAAACAATCATTTGAAAACTCAAAATCTGCTTGTGTGTATGTGTCTGAACATAGAAACTCTTTGTTCTTAAACAAAGATGGATATTAGTATCCTTTTCTCTATTTGCTTTTAGAAATAAGTTATGAAATACATTTGGTGAGGGGTTAAAGTGCACAAATCTTAAGCTGTATGATTTTTTTTTCTTTTAATTATTTTTTATGCTCCATGACTTTTTATAAATATTTTTATATGTGTAAGTACTAAACATGGAGAATAAACTTTTTAAAAAAATACAATACTTATACCAATTTTTAAAAAATAGCTAAGTTGTCATTTTAATGAGTATGAGGAAAAGTATGTCTGTGCCATATTTAATCCTGTCTTTACACCTTGGTATTTTTTGGTTTTGTTTTCAATATTATAAACAGTATAGGCCTCCTGGCTGCTTATATCTTTGCATTCTTGTCTCATTCTATAAATCTTTTCAAGTGAAATTTCTGGGTCTACTCTAAGGCTTTTGATGCCTCCTGTCTTATTCTCTCCAGAAAAGTAGTAGTTAATAAACATTTGCAATATAAGCGTGCCTGATGGACCCACACCAAGCCTGTGTGTTACTATTCTCTAACTTTCTGAGAGGTGCAAATGATAGGGTTGTTTAAATTTGCATTTTGAATACTAATGAATATTTTTATGCAATTTGTATTTTGTTTATAAATTTTCTATCTGATACACAAGTGTGTTTCCTTACTATGCAGAAATGTTACATTTCACATGCTCAGACATGAAAGCCTTCCCTTCATGTTTGGGTTTGTGGCATTGTTGTTAAGCTTTCAATTCCATTATGATCACAAAAATGTTGTCTGCATTTTCTTCTAGTACTTTAGTTTCATTTTCTATGCAAATTTTTATTCTTTTCCAAATGGTAAGCCCTTGTTCCAGGTTAGTGAACAATCCATCCTTTCTTCACTGATGTGAAATGTCACTTTTTTCATATCCTGAATTCTTTTTTTTTTTTTAATAGGGTTCTCTTTTTTTTTAAAGATTTTTTTTAATTGGGGAATTGGGGGGATGGGAACAGAGCTGGGGAATTGGGGGAAGGGGAACAGACAAGTTGCTGTCGTTTTGTTCTTCAGTCTAGTTGTGGAGGATGTTGCTTCACTGGCCCAAGTTGGCACCATCATTGCGCTCTTCCCGGGTGAGGCAGATCAGTTGCCAGCTTCTGGACGGCCGCTCACTGCAGCTGCTGGCTACATACGGTAGCCCATGGCAACCCACTGCCACAGGGGCTGCAGCTTACGCAGTCGCCAGCGATTCATGGCAGCCCAGCTCCAGGTTGAGCTGTTGTTCAGCATCTTAGCTGTGGAGGGTAGTGTCACTGTCCCTCATATGTGGGATCCGAACCGCGGCCCTCTGGCATCCCAAGCCAGTTCTTAAGCATCGCGCCACTCGGCCGGCCCCTGAATTCTTATATATAAATTTTTTTCTGAACCGTTTGTGTTGGCAGGCTTAATTTGTTCCATTGACTTTTCCCTGTTAGACTGCAACATCCATGAGGACAGAGAGTTTATCTGTTTTGTTTGCAGCAGTACTATACCTCCTCCCATAGGAATGGTGCTTGGTACACAGTAGGTGGTCAACAGTATGTCTGGTGAATGAGTGATTCTGCCATTCAGTTAACAAACACTGTGTTCTGATTATCATAGCTTCATAATATCTGGTGGGCAAGTTCTTGCTCATTACTATTACCTTTCAAAAATTTCTTGGCTGTTACTATGCAACACAGTTAACTTTAAAAAAATCATCTTTTCCATAATTAACTTTAAAATATTACTTTGGTATAATTTGATTGGGAATGTGTAAATTTATAAATTAATTTCAAAGAAGTGACAATTTAGGATATTGTGACATCCTATCCAGGAATACGGTACATCTCTCTCTGTTCATCTTTCTTTATACATATATCTAAATAAGCTTAGTAAAATAAATTTAACAAATAAAAATCATAGTTTTCTTTATGTAGATACAGTACACTTCTTATTTGGTTTGGCTGTAGGTATTTTATTTTTTGTTGTTGCAGAGGTCTCCTTTCTCATGGCTTCTTTTCCTCCCCTCAGCTCTGCCTCTTCCTGTCCACCCTGTAGGAAGAACCCCACAGGAAGGAAGGTAAAGGCAATGGCTGCTGGGCCTCTGCCATTGGGAGCTCAGGTGAGCTCATATTTCAATCTCAACTTTCTCCCTTACTCTTTACTGCTATACTGTATGTGGACTTCACCACAAGAGGACACGGGCATTGAGATCTCTGAATGTTGGATATTTTCCACAAAGATCCCCTTCGGTATCCCTCAGCTCTGTTCTCAGCTGCCACTTCCTCATTCAGCTGGCTTGCTGAGCTTTGGTGCTGTTCAAGGGTTAGAAAAGGAACAAAAACCATATGAGAGATGGTCTTGGTGCTTATATCAGGGAACACAAAAGGTCACATCTCTACAAGATACAGTCACGACGATTGCACATGAATTTGACAATAAAAGCAAGTATGGTTAGGTACCCAGAGTGTCTGTTCCGAGACCTGGAGAAAGGGAAGATCAGTGTGGCAGCCGGAGAAGCAGCTGGGTGGGGGTGACTGGAGGGGATTTGCTGTAATGGAGTCAGAGTGTCCCGAGTTTAAATCCTGACTCCACCATTTCATAGCTGCATTGTCTTGGGCAAGTGCCTGCATCTCCCTGACACATCAGTCCCTTGTGGTGATGACAGTAATGACAGGATTAACTCAGTGTTTGCCACATACTTGACATTAGTAAGAATTTAACATGGCTTATTTCATTTCATAATACCGACTACATAGGTTTGCTGAAAGTTCAAATGAAATAGTGTATGTACGTAAAAAGTGCCCTGCACAGTTCCTGGATGTTGAAGTTACTGGGTAAGTGGCAGGCACTCTTAGCAGATTCCAGCCAAGAGCTCGGGGTTTAGAATTCAGAGGTGAGGCGGAATGTGGCATTGACTGGGAGTGAGAGGGAATCGGCTACAAAGTTATGGGTCAAGTTTGTGTGTCTGGTGAGGTGGTAAGCGTGGGGGTGGAGGAGGAGTCGGAGGAATTTTGATAAGAGGGTTGGCATGATAAGAGCTGTTCTAGGAAGAAGCCGTGTCCATCTGCCAGAGAAAACCATGAAGTGAAAAGAGTGGGGAGCTTAGGCGTCTTTTGCCCTGATTGCTTTAAAATGGAACCTGCTAGTTTTTACTAGAACCTGGAGTTGTCGCTTCTCTGGAAAAGGAAATAAGACATCGGGGGACTTGACCCAGGTGACCCTAAGTTTTGTTTTATTTTATACTTTTCTGTTTAAGGTTAGGCTTCCTTAACCTGGTCTGCAGTTCCGAAGGACTTGTGTTTTCTTTGTTCATTAGCTCAGGTGTTAGGCTTCTCTTAAATATATCATCTGTTTGTTTATCAAAGGAGCCGTTTTAAGAAGGCTTTGTAAAGGTGGGTATTAACTGCTGTGATTTTTTTAAAAAGATTTTATTGAGGAATTAAGGGAGGAGAACAGCATGGGGAATCGGGGAAGGGGAACAGACAATTTGCTGTCACTTTGTTCTTCAGTCTAGTTGTGGAGGACGTTGCTTCACTGGCCCATGTTGGCACCATCATTGAGCTCTTCCCGGGTGAGGCAGTCGCTTGCCGGCCATTGGACGGCTGCTCACGGCGGCTCAAGGCAGCTCAAGAAAGCGCACGCCAGCTGCCCGCCAGCTGCCCGCCAGCCTCACTGCAGCCGACACCATTGCCGGCAACTCACGGCAGCCCAGTTCCAGGTCCAGCTGTTGTTCAGCATCTTAGCTGTAGAGGGCAGTGTCACTGGCCCCCATGTGGGATCCGAACCGGGGCCCTGCTGCTCAGAGCTGGCATCCCCATGCCAGCTCTTAACCAATGTGCCACTCGGCCAGCCCTAACTGCTGTGATTTTTATTTGTACTACTTTTCTAGATATTATCAAGCTTAGATATAAAAGGCAACATAACTCACAAAGATAGCTATTAGAGGAAGGGAGTTTCTAGAAAAGGGGAAGAACTAAAGGGAAAGCGTTCAGAAGATTTTAGTTGATGAAGGTTGTGGTTTGGTTCCAGTAGCCTTGATTTTATTTAATTTAGGTAAGATAGTGTTAACTAAGTTTTTTTTTTTTTAAAGATTTTTATTGGGGAATTGGGGGGATGGGAACAGTGCTGGGGAATTCAGGGAAGGGGAACAGACAAGTTGCTGTC